CCTGCTGGTCCCAGCACTGGGGGGTTCTCTGTGTGAGCTGTGAAATGAGCTGGGTGGGAGGGGGGCATGCCTGTGTGTGACACCCCCAGCCCCCTTGTCCTGCACGGGGCAGCTCAGGGGAGTTTTTGTCCCTGCTGGACATGCAGGTCCTGTTCTGAGACCAGCAGCTCCTGGGAGGGCAGGGAGCCGGGGGGAGCACACACTGTGCACACACCTCTTGGGGGGACGGAGCCTGCTCATCCATCATCCCCGTGCTGCAGAGTATGGGCTTGCAGGGGCTAAATTAATGGAAAAGAAAAACCAAACCCATGGATTAATTTAGTGCTGAGGATTTACGGGGGGGCTGTTTCAGGGCATGCCTGGCCAGAAGAGGGGTAAAAAGCTTTCAGGTGGAGAAACCTGCTGCTGGTCACCACAGAGGCTGATTCCCACCCATTGCCAGTTTGCTGCTCTTCTCAGGAGCAAAGCATGCTGGGGCACTGACCCACATGGGCTTTGTTGTGTGCTCCCTGAAGATCACCTCGTGCTCTGGTACCCCTTGGCAGCAGGGCATCAAAGGGTGCTGCAAGTGCCATCCCTTGGTTTGTGTCTGCTGCACCCAGCCTCCCTGAGCCCTGCCAGCAGGCACCGGGAGAGGGAAGGGGGCCCGAGCTGAGCTAAAGGAGGGTCGTGCTTGTCTGGTGCCCAAGGCTCTTCCTGTGCTGCAGCTCTGCTCCTGCATGGTCCTGGCTCCAGCAGCTGGGCCTGAGGGACAGTGCAGGGACAGGCCGTAGCTGCCGCGCTGCGGGGCTGGCTCAGGCGCCACACGGCACCTCACTGCGTTCCCCTGTGCCGCTTTTGTCTGGGATTTACCCCCGACCCAGTGCCTGCTGCCTCCGGCACAGCCTGGGCACGCTGTGCACCTCTGCATGGGGCTTAGAAACGCAGCGTGGGGCTCCACGAGGGAGCCTGGCCCCAGAAGCCTTTGTGCCCCTTGCTTAGGGGCCACCCCTCCCCTTGCCCCCACGGGCCGAAGCCCTTCGCTCAGTCTGGTGCTGGGCTCCCAGCAGCTCCCTGCCCTGGGAATGGTCCCTGTCACCTCCCTGGCAGCTCCCGGGGCTCAGAAGGGTGGTCCCTCAGTGGCAAGGTGACAGCGGCGTGTTCAGCAGCCTGGCAGGCCCCTCACCCCCTCCCTGCAGCCCCTCAGCCCAGCGTGGTGGGCAGCCCACCCCCGCCCGACCTCGGCTGCTCCCCAGACGTGGCCCTGCTGGGCACGAGGTGATGGGGCTGGGAGGAAGCAGGTGGCACAGGGCCAGCCCAGCGTGTGACAGCACCCACCTGGGAGAGAGCACGGAGTCAGCAGCGGGCCCTGCAAACTCCTGCCCAGCTCCAAGATCCCGCGGAGCAGCTGGCAGGAGGGGACACGTCCGTGGAAGCTCCATTTCCGAAAGGCGCCGAAGCCAGGAGCAGGGG